CATCGCGCACACAAATTAATGTAACGCGTATAAACGTTTTGATCAATCGAGACACTCAGTACATCACAGTTGTATTATTTCGAGAAATTAATGTTCGCTCGTTCGATCGAGTTGTTTATACACTTGTGTGTGTAGATAGAAACGTGCGTCCTCGACAGAGCGACAATTTAAGAGCCATGAGTGGCGCAGCACGCATGAGAGTTTACTTGTTAAACAAAATTTCAGCGCACGTAATTTAATATGCGCAGTTTAACTGTGCGATTTAGGCTACAGTTTATGGAACGTCTCGTAAAATGTACAGTTTGACAAAATGCTTGAACTGATAAGAATATAAAAAAAAAAATTGTCGTAATGAAAAATATTTCTATTTTCTCATTTCAAAGCGGAATAAGATTGATTCACCTGATCGTAACAAAACTACTTTCGAAATAGCGAAATAGCCATTAATTCGGGCATCGTACATCAACGTAGAGTGTGTGAGAGAACGTTCACCAACACAACCAACTAACTCCGCAGTGTCTGGCACAATGCTGGCTGATTGGAAGTCACGTGTCGGCGGCAATGAATTCGTATGTTAGGGTCACGTGTCTCGCCCAACGTTTCCGAGGAGCATGTAGCCAAAAGTCAGACGCGTTATAGCCACCCTTCCCTCCTCCTTGCACCGCACCATCGAAACCACGGAACTTCGAACAAATTCTACACCCCGATTTTTAAATTAATACTATTTCGATGCCAACATTGCTCTTTTCAGAAAACGTGCTGTATGCAAAGCTACATCGAGACTGAAAGATCTATATTTTAATTAGTTTATCTCTACGTTTCTTTCCGCCGCTCATGTCGAAATTTTTGCACAAAAATTTTAGTTTTTCGGGTATATTGCGTTTGTTGTAATATGCTCGGTATCATTGACAGTTGCTATCTTTAGCAAGAAAGGAATCAAAGGGAGAGAAAGTGAAGAAAGGGGTGGCGAAGGGCGGTAATGAATTAATTGCCTTATACTAGCGCGTGGCCGGACGTACGGCCGATCGTCCTCGACTTCCGGTCCCGGCGACTCCTTCCTTTTCCTCCTCTTTCGAGGTTTTCGTGGTTCCGATCGAAAGCCGCAGTGATAGTCGAAGGGACGCGAGGGTTTAGCGTCGTCCATTCTTCCGGAAAATATTTATCGTATCCGCGCGACATGGTCGGCGTACAAAGGGTAGTAAAACTGCCTTTCTTCAAATTCTCCGGCTTTTCCTGCCGGACCAACTACGCGCAGCTACTCTTACAAGTACGAGTATTGATTTTATTGGTCATCCAAACGCGCGAAAGTGTCTTATTTATTATAATTTATTTTCGTCATTTTGCAACACGGAAATAATTTTAAAAAATTACACGTCAAATTTTACAAGCATTAATTACCTTCCTGTTATAAAACTAAAAATAAAACGCCACTGTTCCGTCCATGCAAAACCGAAAAATCGGATAAAAAAGAATTAGGCAAAAAAAGTGAGAAGCGTGTAGCAGATTTATTGACCATCGTTCGTACGATTGAACAGGATAGACGATATAGCTTGTTCCACGCTTATCGTTAGTATGATCTCTTATCGGATGCACGCTTGCGCGGGGGTGGACTCGTGTCGGGGGTAGGCGGAGTATGATGCATGCCATATGGCCAGAAAGGGCAGCTGTTGATCGGATCGCGTGCTCATCATCTCTACTAAAGCCAGCTCATGCTTACTGTTTCTACTTGATTTGCAGATGGCACAATTATTCATGCGTCCATGCGAGAGAATGCGTTTAAAAAAAAATCTCCAAAATCAACATATTCAGCCAATTAATTTAAAAAACAAGATTGTATGACATAAAATAATAATTTGTAACTTGGAATTAAAATATTTATAAAATATTTTTTAATAAACACTTGTCTTATATTATCAATATGCTTCACGCAGTTAAAGTGTTTTTAAAATATAATTTATTTTGGACCAAAAAACACGTTCGTCGCAATACTTAAACTACTAGAAAGCGCAAAATTTCTGAATCAAAATATCTCTTGCAAATTTTTTTCTAAAGTCACTATTGAATAACACAAACGATTACAAGCCTGTAGGCTTACATGATCGCGTTATATTTCAAATTTTGCTCAACAACTCTTTCTTCAAAAGTTTCGAAGTTCGAAGCGATAGATGTGTTTAACGAAAATATTAACAGTTGTATAGTTTTGATAAAGCAGATAACACACACGGTCGCGTGCGTTGGAGTTAATAAAAATAAAAGACTCAAGCGATAAAATGTAACGGGTACTCTGTTTGCACAGATAATCCTTTGGTCCCTTTAATGTTAGCAAACAAATCCGATCCCGGTACGGTAGCGAGGCTTTGCAAACAGGTGACTCGAAAAAGCCGCTGTATTCTAAATTTTATCTGCAACGCAATATTTAACAGTTTGCGAAGGTTTAACCGAATTTTTATGTTACAAAGTTAACACTTTCGTTACTGTCACTTGTACGCAATGATTTACGATTTATGTGACACATTTTTCACGTTAATATTTTGTAGCAATAGTATTAAATAAAAATATGTAACAACAGTATTGAAAATAAAAATTCAAATTTCACATTACGTTAGAAAAACAAGTTGTATAATCAGAAAATAATTTTCTATACTAAAAAAAAATCTATTCCATTAAACTCGACGCTATCTAATTAAGCAGATGGCAATGGCTCTCCGAAATAGTGATTATTGCAACGATTTCTTGTAACGAATCGCGAAACGAATAAAGAGCAAAGAATGTTTAGGCATATTACAAAGTTATCGCTACGTTATAGCAAAAATCACTCGTCACAGCTTATCGTCGTCGGATCGTTTTTATTTGTTGCGACACGTGCCGCTCGTAATTAACGGAAAATCACCATGAACCATACATATGTGTGGATTCGGGCTTGGAAGGCACACGACGATTACGCGATCGCGTGTTACGCGTATGCGATGCGTGTTATGTGTTCATCCCTGTCCTGACACGCTCCCTTAACCGTACATCCGACCTCGCTACGATCGCAAGTCAGTCGGTCTACCTCAGGCGAAACACGTATGTATTGACTTCTACTTCAATATATGACGAAAGTGTGCATTTATGGAAAGAACCGTTCACCGTTCATATTGGATGCGAAGAATCGCTACGACGACAAATTCAGGAATTTCTAAATGAGAAGCAAAAAATATTTTTTCGAGAATAAAAAGATAAAGAGATGTTAAATTTAAGAAATATTTAAGATCTAAGAAAGATAATAAAAATTTATTTGTTAAAAATAAAGTTATATTTGTGTATGTGTGTTTCATATAGAATTACTAATTACTCAATTACAAATTATCATATATTTATGAAAGAAATATAATTTTTATACAAATATTTGAAATATTCAGATATATGTATGTTAAAATATTTGCGTAAAATTAAAAAAATATAATCAATAATCGTTACGGCGCCAGAATGTCTTTCAAATAAATTAGCTGTTGTAGTCTGTGTAAAATATTTTCTGTACATCATATACGCTTGCCAAATATTAAGAAAAGTAAAAAAATAAAGAATTACTTAAAAAAAAATATTTTTAATTTATTATTTTATATTTTAATTTTCTCTCATATATACACATAAATCTTGGCCAATCGTAAATTAAGGATTCAGAGTTAAATATTCAGTCTGTTTTAATCTATCCATTTTAAGGCATTGTATCTATGAAATATTTTCAGGCGCCGTGGAACCGGGAGGACAGAGGGGGCGACTGCCCTCTGAATTCAGGCCTACGCCCCCGGAATTTTTCTGTTTTCTTCAGGTATTTCATGACCAAAAATATTAAACATCAAAGGTAGAAAAATGGGTTATTTTTCTTTTCTTACATACATATGCCTATACATATACATATTATAAATGTATTATGCATCCCCTTTATAAATTTTGTCCCCTCAGATGAAAAATACTTCCGCGGCGCCTGAATGTTTTATATAATTTATAATATTTTTATATAATATCTTAATTCTTAATTTGAAATTTTTGATCTTTACAATTTTGGAACATAATTTTCATAGTTCCATTACTTCAGATTAAAAGAAAGATGATTTGATCTCGACTTACCGAACGGATGCGCAGCAACGGAGTTGTAGTTTTCGTTGATCTGTAAAATACAAAATAATATACAAATATTAACAACGTACAAAATAATAAATATCTCAAAAATAATTATATTGCATGTATTGAATTTTTATTAGTCTATTAAGCAAGGTATTTGATAAAATTTTATGTAAAATTACTATTCCAAATTACAAATTATCATATAATTATAAAAAAATCGAATTTTTATACAAATATTTGAAATATTCAAAGATATGTTGAAAATATTTATGTTAAATAATCCCAAAAGCATAGAATTTATATATTCTGCAAATAACAAATAATAAATTAATGATGAATTTTCGTGGCTCACCTTATAGTTGCTCCGTTGATGCCCGATGTCCCCCGGACCTCCTCCTCCTCTCGATGGTCCACCGATGGCTGCTCCTAACTCACAAAAATACGATCGCGTAATATTTTATTCGACACTACCGAATATTAATTGACACGAACTTTGTCATTCATGACAAAGAAGAAACTCAAAGAAATACGAAATCGCACGGAGCTATTCCGTTCGACACTCCGAAGCAGGCATGCAAACGGCAGTGGAAAATTATATATTTAATTTTACGCATTTCATTATCACCCGACATAATAATAATAATGCGGAGCTATTTTCCGCGGCCGTCTACCCTACACGAGTGTCGTCGTGCGAATAGTAGCAAGGTGATCATGCGCGTACGCTATACGCCAGCGTCTTAAGTCACAAAAACATAACAACATTCCAATGTCGTGTGAGCTAGCAATTCTCGGAATTCCTCAACGCGTAAGATTGTTTGTTTTTGTAACCGTTACGCGAGCCACTGCTCACGCTCTTACCCTGCTATCATTCGCACGGCGGGACTTACGCGGGATAGACGGCAGCGGAAAATAGCTCCGCATTATTATGTCTCCATAAATATGTAAATATTATTTCCGAATATTATTTTATATCCGAAAAGTACGTAAGCTTACGAAAGTACTTTAGGTTTAGCATAGTCGGGTGATAATGAGATGCGCAAAATTAAATATAAAATTTTCCGCTGCCGTTTGCATGCCTGCTTTCGGACGAGTGTCGAACGGAATAGCTCCGTGCGATTTCGTATTTGTTCGAGTTTCTTCTTTGTCATGAATGACAAAGTTCGTGTCGATTAATAATCGGTAGTGTCGAATAAAATATCACGCGATCGTATTTTCGCGAGTTAGGAGCAGCCATCGATGGATCACCGAGAGGAGGAGGAGGTCCGAGGGACATCGGGCATCGGCGGAGCAATTATAAGGTAAACCATGAAAATTCATCATTAATTTATTATTCGTTATTTGCAGAATATATAAATTCTATGCTTTTAGGATTATTTTACGTAAATATTTTCAACATATCTCTGAATATTTCAAATATTTGTATAAAATTCGATTTTTTTCATAATTATATGATAATTTGTAATTTGAAATAGTAATTTTACATAAAATTTTATCAAATACCTTGCTTAATAGACTAATAAAAATTCAATACATGCAATATAATTATTTTTGAGATATTTATTAATTTGTGCGTTGTTATAATTTGTATATTATCTTTTATTTTGCAGATCAATAGCAGAACTACAACTCCGCTGCTGCGCATCCGTTGAGTAAGTCGAAATCAAACCATCTTTCTTTTAATCTGAGGTGCATGGGTCTATGAAAATTATACTTTTGGATTGTAAAGATAAAAAATTCCAAATTAAGAACTTTAATCTAACTTAAAATTTCAGATTAAAAATTAAGATTATATAAAAATATTATAAATACAATAAAACATTTCATAGTTCCAATGCCTTAAAATGGATGAATTAAAACAGATTGATATTGAACCCTGAAAATCTTTTATCTACGATTACGATTAACTAATATATATACATATACACGAGAGAAAATAAAAATATGAGGCAGTAAATTAATTGAAAATGTCTCTTATCTTTAAATAATCCTTTACTTTTCCTAATATTTGACAAATGTATATTATATGATGGACAGAAAATATTTTTTTGCACAGATTAATTTATTTTATTAACAGAAAGGCGTAATAATTATTGATTATATTTATTTTTGCAATGAAACAATTTGATATCATTCTTTTTAACCTATTCATTCATATTTATACTTTATTGTTTGAACTACTCAAATCTTTAAATATTACGAATCGTCGATATAGATCACTGCTATTATAAATCGAACTTTATACATATATAGATCACTGTTTACGTTGAAACTATTCAAATTGTCCGAAGTTTCCGAACTAGACGCTAATCTTTTTTTGCTTCGAACATACAAAATATTTGAATCTTTTGTCTGAACCCTAATTCGAACAACAAGATAGAGATTTCATTGTTTCGCCTACGTGGCAAAAACCAGTTGCTCTGGTTTGACTCACGGATGCAGGATGCAGCTGATAGAGGGAGAACGTACCTACATAGGCAAAGTAGTTATGTCTATATATCGTCCAGTCCTGTTCCAAGGGACTACCTTTCTCTAACCGACCGACAAAAGGACAGTCACAGATAAATATGTAACTATAAAAAAAAGATAAATACTTACGGTCAAGAGTCAATATTGTGAGAAGGGTCCCTGTCGGTCTTTTCAAGATGGAAGTCGCGTTTAGGAAACTTCGCGCATTTTTCTTTGTTTCCTGAGAACGCCTGCCGCCTTTTTTCCCCCCTTATATTTATATATTTCCCCCCTGCATCATTAGTTTATAATTAACCTTGCTATCGCACGATATAATCTATAACCCATCATAGTTTGCGACGTGCCCAACAGTTTCTTACCTTCGATTAAAGTGATGAAGATTATAATAATTATATTAACATTACACATATTTTGTTTATTCAATATAGATTATAGAGGAAAGATAATTTGAGAATCAGACAAAATAAAATATATAAATTATAATAAAAAAGGAAGAAAGATATGATTTTGAAACTTGATTATTTTTATTACTAATTATGTTTTATCATATTATTAAAATTGCTTGCATGATAGAAACATCAAATTTGTTTTTCTTTTTGAAAATAAATTGGTATTCTCGTGTAATATTCATCATATTTTATTCAACGCAATGAATCACTTTAGTCGATTGAAGAAATTATTGTGCCATTTCAAAATGTTCCCGAATAAAACAACTTTGATATTCTTATGAAAAGACAATTTGTCAGTGTGACAATATCTCATCTTGGTTCGGTATGTTAATTCCGCTGCGATTTGTGCGCGTCAGTGTCGACACGGAATTCGCGCCCGCTAAAAATCACCCTTTGCATAATGCAGGTATAACGATATAAGCGCGATCGGCGCCAAACTTTTACCACTAAAAGCTTTCGAATCGCTGGCAAATTTGTCACCGGGCAACAGCCCGTTCGACCGATAATGGCGCGCGCGGCGGAAAATAATCATCGGCTCGCATTACGGATCCATTACATACAGGATCGCGCGCCAAACACATATTAACCCCCGCGGCGTTTTGTACGTGGTACCCCACCTCGTCCCACATTCGACGGAGTATATCGAGCGCAAAAATGATCGATTATTTAACTGTACGTCCTTTTACATTCTCCGATATGGAAAGTATCCCCCTTTTAGTAATAAACGCACATCTGAGAGCGTTTGACATTTTCCTCTCCGATAGTTAAAATTGATTTAAGAGTGTATTTATGAATTCAAATTATACTTTATTTCGTGTATGGATATTTTCATCAATTTTCAATCAATTCTACTCTTTTTTAAGAATATTTTGAAATAGAATAATTTTAAACAATCAAAAATATAGAGCTTTTTATTAACAAATTCTCCACATAGAATGTGGATAGATGATAAAATATTTTCTTATTTTTGGTCCAATGGAAAAATTAATTTTACAGTAGAGCTTGATGATCTATCCTCACGAGACTTCATTATTGTCAGGCATTAATTTAATAATAATTAATTATAAAAAGTGACAGCGGCTGATAATTTTTCAAACTTTTATTAGAAAAAGTTGGCGGTGTCTTTATAAAAGAATCTATGGGTAAAAAATATGTGATAGGTTTGTCACGAACAATGTAGAAATTTGTATAATCTTGTTAGAAAGAGAGAGTTTAACCCTTATCTTTAAAGAAATTATACTTTGTAAATAATATTAAGTGTTAAGTTTATAATTTTTCCGTGAGAACTAAATTCGTTTTAAAGAATAAAGTATTTCAATTTTTTACCATTTATTTGCATGACTAATCTAAACCTCTTTTTAGAATACGCGTTGCACAAATTTTATAATATAATTAGAGCGATGACGTTAGGATGAAACTTTTAGTCTCCACACATCCGTACATTAATGCCGTGCAACTCAAGGCACAAAAGGGGTTCAGATGTTATTACCCTTCGAGCGTTTTACAACCAAGTAGGGATTAATATTTCGGTACGTTGCATGTAATGGATACATCTAATGGCCAGAGGCTAATCATACTTTTTTGCATATTGGTAAAAAGCAAGCAACGATAGAAGAAACTTAAGACTTTTTTTTTTATATTCAATCGGCAACCGTTGCCAAAAGACGTGAGTGTCTGAGTGTTCCTTTGGGTCTTAAGTTATACGCGGGTTTCATTAAAAATGCAGTCTCCCGGGTCTCAGGAGGATAAGTTCAGCGTTTACAACGCGAACACTCGCGGGTTAAAAGAGCTGAACGGGTTAAAAAAGTGGCTGGTAAGCGTTCGGTCTGTCCCGTCGTTTTATTCGATTTTACTTCGAGGAAACGGACGCGCAGGATAGCTGTATCACGGTGTTCGCGAACGCACGCACACCGACGCACGCCGAGAAGCGGCTTCTTTCTTCCGTTTCCCTCTCCTTTTCCCCGCAATGATGAGTCGGTCTGTTAATTGAAACATCGATGCATATGTCGGCGTTATTGTGAGTTCGTAACGCAATTCTCAACGGGACACTTCGCGAGACATCGCGAAAGTTCCATTTTCAATTGACATTTGCAATATCTTTGCTATCTATGCGTTAAATCTTAGAAGCGCCTATCGATACAATGATTAAGTACATTCAAATACAATCTAGCCAAGTGTCATCTTCGAAGAAGAATAAGAATTTACTCGACTTACACGAAACAAGAAATATAATTAAACAGAGAATTACATCGGGAAATATTGCAGATAAATATCGATAGATTCGTGTCGAGATAAATCAGAAGGTGTGCGCGCGATCCTGTTTATTGTGAATAATAGAAATGCCCGTCGGGGGATCGGGGGCGAGAGTGTCAGGCTTTTATTTCTGCAGAATGCAGGTGTTGCTAGACAGGATCCGGGATCCTCGGGAGAAAAGTGACGTTCTATCGTAGATCAAAGATCGACGCCGCGCCGCACGCTGCATCGTCCCGTCGTTGATGCCTGGTGTGCAGACACGAGTGTAACATTATACAGGGTGTCTCGGAAACGATGCCTACTAATAAATATACAAGGCTAGAATAACGGATGGGCGGCGAAATGTTTTAATGTGTGACAGGACAATTTATCACGTGACGACGATTTAACATTTCACGCTGTAGTTATTGTACGAATCATACAGAGGCAATTCCTGCATTAAAATAACACACGTTTGCATTATCGCGCGTTTAACATTGAATACTGTTTAATTTTTATGTTCATTTTTGTATCGGAGGCAATGTATTGTAAATGTGCACTCGTATTTAATTATATTGATCGTCAAATTGCGATTATATTCTAAAGTAACGCCTGTAAAATATGCAGTTCTTTTGTCCGTAGTGAAATTATATTGCATCTCTCTCATCAATACCTTGCAGATAACTTGCGGAGCCACATTACGCGATTTTATTAGCGCGCGACGTCGCTCCGATGATTAATATTGTTACGAAACGCGGTCTAACAACCGGAAGATGCGAACCATCGCACGGCTCCCATCGGAATTCCGTTTCGAAGCTCGCCATTGAACCCATGAATTATTATACTCGGGCGTGAGTCGCGAATTTAAGCGGCCCTGGAAACGGCAGATCGATATGGCGCGCCCGCGCAAGTCCGCGGGACGTCGCTTTTACCATCCCGCGTAAATGCGCGTAGACGCATAGACGCGTACGGCGACCGCGACCGAACCCCTCTACCATGGAGACACGCACGCGCGCGTACAAAAGCGTCCACCTGTGTATACAGGATGCTCTGGACTTACCGCGCGCATCGCTTTCCGTCTCAGAATTCTTTCGTCAATATCGACAATTTTTCCCTAACAAGAAAATTATGAATCTTTGTATCCGTAATTAATTAAAAGTAAAAGTTTCGAAAAGACACAATTTCAGAGAAAGTGGACATAATAGTCTTATTAAACAATTAATCTCAAGGAAACTTTATTTTGATGTTCGAAAACACGAAGATAGTTGAAAATTTGTTCCTGTTTAAAAATTTGACACCGAGAAAAATTAAATACTGTCGACATTTCGATTTATTATATTTTTTAGGATGTCGATGATTAAAGTCTAGAATGGAATTAAAGACGTTTGTTATCAGTGCTACTCACTTGTCGAAAAACAAAGGATATTTCTTGAATTAAATTACACAAATATAAGTGCTTAATAAAATCATGTCTCTGCTAGAATAATGAGATATTTAGTCAC